TATTGTGGCAACAGTAACAAAAGTCAATAAGGTTTTTCTCAGTGAGGTTTTTCAGCACCCTTGTACCTTAAAGGGACATGATATGTTTCTTACAGGATTCTCTGATGAATAGAAAGTTCAAAAGAACAGCATTTTCTATATTTACTGATCAACTTATTGCATCCTTGCTACATGGGGCGGCAGTGGCTCAGTGGTTCATGTGGGTTGTCTACAAACCGGAAGGTTGGTGGTTCAATCCTCGGTTCCACCTGACCAAGTGTCGAGGTGTCCATGAGCAAGACACCTAACCCCAGCTGCTCCCGACGAGCTGGATGGCGACTTGCATGGCTGCCGTCGCCCGTCGGTGTATGAATGAGTGAGTGAATGGGTGAATGTGAGGCAAATTGTAAAGCGCTTTGGTGGCCATTGGGTCTGTGAAAGCGCTATATAAATGCAGTCCATTTACATAAAAATCTAAATTTCTTTAAAAAAAACTAAAATCTGACCCCAAATGTTTGATGGGTATTGTAACTATAAAATTATGTTTGTCAGCATAAAAGCTCAGCATACATTTTTTTTTGAGACGTTGAGTGATATGTTCTAGTTGTGCAAGTTGGAAGACGTGTGACAGTGTTGTTTTAATATTAGAGTTGTTGAATGAATGTCAGTGGAAAAGGAGAGGGAGTATGTGTATGATTACACAGTTATTCATCTATGAGATGATGCATTTATATGAGATTGAGGTGTGAAAAAGTTAATCTAAAGGTTTAAAGGTATAGAATTGGGATACCAGAAGAAAGCTGTGTCTGTATATGCGGTTAGTGTCGTGACTTTTAGGACTATATGAACATGCTTACTCCGATTGTTTTTCTGTGAAACTGCATATTTTGTGTGAGGTGATAATTAGAGTAATTTTTGGCGGGAAATAAGAAAGACACTGCCCACTCCGACCAGAGGAGCTCTGCTCTACACACACACACACACACACACACACACTTGGGTTTCCCTCCGCATTTTAATGGGATTAGAGCCATCTGCAGACCCTTAAGGAACAAAAGTGTGTTTCTGGAGAAGTTGTGTTCTCTAGGGGGTTGAAGTGTTGTCACCATACTAACACACACAGCAGGGATCTAGTGCCTTTAGAAGATATTCATGACAACCCAAATCATGATTATTCCCAACTGCAGTGTATAACATTGTATTGCATCTGTAATATCTTAATATGATTTATCTAATAGGCGTATACGTTTAGGGTCTGTAGTAGAAGCCTCCCCTGCTCTCCAAGGATCATTTATTTGATCAAAAATATAGTAAAAACAGTAATATTGTCAAAGATTGTTTGTTTTCTATGTGAATATATAGTAAAATGTAATTTATTCCTGTGATCAAAGCTGAATTTTCAGCATCAATACTCCAGTCTTCAGTGTCACATGATCCTTCGGAAATCATTCTAATATGACTCAGGAAACATTTATTTTTATTATCAATGTTGAAACAGTTTTGCTTCTTCATATGGCTTCATTTTGTGGAAATCATAATAATTTTTGTTTTTATGATTCTTTGAAAGAGCAGCATTTATTTCAAATAGAAATATTTTTTGTAACATTATAAATGTCTGTCACTGTTGATCAGTTGAATAAAACTTTCTGCATTTTTAGATTTTCAAAAAAACATCAGTGCGATTAATAAGCTGTTTTCCTCGTAGGAACTGGAAAATGTCCCCTCAAGGACTAGGATTTTGTATATTACCAGCTTTGTGGTGTGTAACAAATCTTTATGTCCCCGTAACAAGAGGTGGGTAGTAACGAAGTACATTTACTTCGTTACATTTACTTGAGTATTTTTGGGGATTTTTTTTACTTTTAAGAGTAGATTTAATTGTGGGTACTTTTACTTTAACTCGAGTACATTTCTAATGAAAAAACTGTACTTTTACTTCGTTTCGACGTTCCTCTCGTTACTTTATTTTAATGCAATATGTTGTTAAAAGCGTAGTTTATTCTAAGCGCGCGCTCTCTCTTTTTTCTGGGCATGAGCGATGCTCAATTCACAAATAAATGAATCACTCTTTTGAGTCGATTCTGTTCAAAGACTTCATCAAACAAGTTGGGCAGATCTGTCTAAATCGGTTCGCGAATCAGTTTGAATGATCTGTTCAGTTTCCTGCACGCACTGAGTCGTCTCGGAGTCGTAACAGGAAGATTTAAGAACATCAAGAGCGTTGTATGAAGTGGCGGTCCACAGTCTACAGTACAGTCTAGAAAGTAAATCTGCAAATGCATCATATTTTTTGCCAGCGATGAAGATTTGTATTTGTTGAACATCTTCGTATGTCACTTCGTAAGCTGTCTGTGAATGAATTATTCCACACGACGATACATTCGATTTCATTTCATTCAGGTAATACATTTTACAACCAAACAGATTATTACGCCATATAGCACTTACTACTACAAAGTATGACATCACCCTTTTTTTGGACATATACATTACTTTATACATTAAATAAGCTATCATCGTCCAGTTTATGAATGTGTGTACACACACAATGTGTGTATTGCGCAGTGGCGTGCGAACTCGACTTGAAAACGAATGCCTTTGCCTGCCTTATTAGACAGTTAACCAGTTTAAAGATGCTTTCATAAATATAGCCTACATTTAAATACATTTTGGAGAACAGACAGAAGAAGATCCGTGTATTTGATCGTTGTGTTGGGCATGACATGACTGCGAGCACATGTGCAGAGTTTTAACACTTTCTAATCTGTGTCAATGGTTCCCAAACCCTTTACATATAAATGCAAAACTCCATAGAGTTACTTTATTCCGACATTGTCTAATAATCCAAATGTAGTTGTATAAGTTATTATACTATTATACAAACCAAAGGACAGGCAATGGTTTTCGGGCTATGATATACAGATATACAGAAATGTTTGTCTCTTCTGTTTTTGTTGCAAAGATAGCTTATCTAATTATGATAATTTTAGTCATTTAAATGAAAAGATATCTAAATAATATCATATATACCGGTATATATATATAGGCCTATGTGATCCAAAGTAACTAGTAACTAACTACTTGAGTAGTTTTTTCATTGGATACTTTTTTACTCTTACTCAAGTAACTTTTAAGATTATTACTTTTACTTTTACTTTGAGTAAATATTTCTATAAGTACTTGTACTTTTACTTGAGTACAGTTTTTGGATACTCTACCCACCTCTGCGTAGGGTATACTGACACACGCACACACACACACACACGCACACACAGGTTATTATCACTATGAAATGTCCCCATTAAACATATAAACCCAATGTACGTGTGTGTGTGTCTGTAGATATAAATGAACACAATCCAGGTCAAAGAGCTCGTGTCTGCGGGTTGGGTCGCTCTCATTTCCTGTTCTATCTCTGGATCTCTTCAAAGGCCAAACACACACACACTGTACACCTGAACACACACACACCCTACACAGCTCACCAACACCCTTCCTCATTTTCCTGTTATTCACCTTAAAACTACAGTATAAGGTTATACATACATATATATATATATATATATATATATATAAATAACATGGTCAGTGTGACATCATCTGACAAACATCCTTTTATAGTTTCAATACCATCAAACGTTTGGGGTCAGGATTTTTTAAAAAGAAATTAATATTTTTATTTAGCAAGGATGCATTAAGTTGATCAGATAAGATATTTCTAATGTTACAAAAAAATCTATTTAAAATAAATGCTGTTCTTTGGAACATTCTATTCATCAAAGAATCCTGAAAAAAAATGTTTCCACAAAAATATGAAGCAACTGTTTTCACCACTGATAATAATAATAATCATAAATGTTTCTTGAGCATCAAATCCTCATATTAGAGTGATTTCTGAAGGATCATGTGACACTGAAGACTGGAGTAATGATGCTGAAAATACAGCTTTGATCACAGGAATAAATTACATTTTACATAAATTACTTATTTTAAAATGTAATAATATTTCACAACATTTCTTATTTTTATCAAATAAATACAAGCTTTGTGAGCATAAGAGACTCGCTTCAAAAACAATATAAAAGTGTATATATATGGATAATATTCACACTGTAGCTAAATATATTTAGTTTAACACTATATTATTTCAAGTAATTTTCTATTTAATATTAGAAAATACTGTGATTTTTCTTAACTATATCACACCTCGTTTTTTACTACATAACTCAGTAATTCAGAAACCAGACAAACACAAATTCAATATGATTTTTGTTCTTTATAATTGTATATTTTGTAACCAAACTTTCATACAAACTCTACAATGTTAACAGAAAATGTCTTCATCCAGTTTTAAAACTCTAAAACATCTTATATACATTGATATCGACATAAACACACATATACATTTATTTTACACACAGCAGTCACATTGGTTTTTAAAGACACACTAATAACAAACACAGGCAGCATAAAATATGGCAGCTTGGCATGTCGATCGCTCTCCACGTTTGGTTTCTCCACTCGTTTGTTTAGTGCACATACATCGCTGACGAACAGTAAGATGTGAAGAAGAAAATAAAGACATAAACAATAGCAGATTACCAGAATTAGAAACAGGACAGTGCTTGCAGTCCAGCCTGAGACCAGCAGTCAATGTTTTGGTACACAAGTCCACCATTTGAGCGTGTTGACAAGCTTTACAGAGCGTTTGAGAGCAAGAGAGGCAGCATAGAGTGTTATTTCAGACGTTTAGCTTTAAAGTTAAATTATCTTTATAGATTATATCACAAGCACATATATTTGAACTAAAATTAAAATCCAGATTTGTGAGCATACCCTGTTAATGTGCGTTCACACTGACTGACAACAGATTAATCGTGAGAGGTTGTTCCGACTAGAATACAGCATCACATGACCTTCTATCTGCACTCCCATTGGTCATTGCGCCACTTCTCATTTGCATAAACTGCTCAACTTTGTCCAAAACGCAAACAGACAGCAAAAGACGTTGATGTTCGGTTGCAAATCGTTGTCTGTGTGAACGCACCTTTTTCGTAACAGAAGATAGGTATTTTTCGTCAGAGTAAAAGTGCTCTGAACTTCTCAGTATATCTCAAGCTAGCACAACCTGACTGGTGAATGCTATCCGCTTGATAACATCAGCAACATCAAAGCTAACTAGTGTTGACGTTAACCATGAGGTAATCGGCACATGCTATCCGTAGACTCAGAATAATTAATATACTATTGCTATTGTATTCCGTTTTCATTACTTCATGTTAGCTGCATTCTATTCTCAGCCTGTTAGCATATAAACCAAAGCTGATTTCATATTATAGAATATATTTATATAAAACATCTTTTGCTATGCTACATATAGATGCGTTTTGGTTTCTCAGTGCTTGCAGCATCCAGGTATCGCCAGTTCCCTTCCTTTCACCAGTGCAAATTTAGAAAATAGATGCTTTTTTTATTTAGGAAAAAAAAAAGTATGCGGAAAAAAATATATACTCTCAATACAAAAACAGTGTTTAAAATCTTTAAAAACTTTTTCATATAAAGGATGACAAATCAATAGGTTTTTTTCTGTGGCGTCAAATACTGCGAAAGACGACTGCGCTACATGCATTGCGTTCAGCTTATTTACCAACTCAACCCACATGATGGGAACAGAGTGTGTCCCCAACATCATGAGGACTTTGGATATTTCAATGATATGACATTCATATCAAAGTGTCCAAAGACACAATTTCCTGAGTTTAAAAAAAGAGGCCCCCGAAATCAGGGTTACACCGGTGGATTCAGATAGACGTCGACACACGGTAACCCCGAATGTCCTTATTCCGATATCCATCTTGATCCAGTGATCGGCACTGAGATTTCCTCTTGGTTGTTTCTGTCTCAGTGTCTTTTTCTCCATTCTCCTAAACTTGTTTCTTTCTTGCGTTCAGGAGTTTCATCTCAGACCCTGCGAACCGGAATCAAGGGTCCGTCGCGATTGGCCGGGACGCGCTCGTTCTTCTCCCGTCAGTCGTTCACCAGAGTGCAGGGGATCATCAGGGATTGTTTGGCCTGTTCGTACGCCTTCAGGAAGTCTTTATAGCGCGGAGCACAGCCGAGCCAGGCCTCCCCGAAGTGCACGCGCCCGGTGAAGAGAAAGCTCCCCGCGCCGGGACGAACGCCACACTGAAGAGGTGTACGGATCTCCCCGGACCGCGTCAGACGCCCCGACTCAGGGAACAAGGAGAACTTTTGCCGGTAAACTCGTGTTGCGCTCACTTTGATCACTGCCGCTTTCAAATTTGAGTCCGTCTCCACTGAACGGATGTTCCCTCGGACCACTAAAAACACAGAGAGCTCCATTAGTACGGATAGATTGTTGATAAAGCGTACATATTGCTAATTAACAACAAATTTGAGCTTTTGCTGCTTTGGTTAGTTTACGGATGAGGCTAAATGAACCCATTGGATTGATGCAGATTGGCTTTGGTGCGAATAAATAAGAAATTGCCTTTTATCCAAAGCAATTTACAGTCAAAGTTTGAAAGGAGTAATGTTTCAAACTAAAACCTTAAATACTATTTGCATTATTTGAAATAAAATCAACTTTCTGAAATAAAATACTAAAAAACTATGATATATATATATAAAATAACTTAAACTGAAATATAAAAATCTAAGACTGAAATACATTTTTATTAAAACTAAAACTAGAAATGGAAAATATAAAAATAAAATCTAATTCTAAATATGAATAGAAACAGTAATAGTATTTGAATGAAACTAAAATAACAGTACGTTGCAGGCTAAAGGTCTGGGGCCGTATTCACAAAGAATTTTATCTTACCACTAGGAGTACTCCTAAATTGCACTAAAATATTTTAGCTAGGAGTTTTCTCTTAAAAGTTATTCACAACGCCTTTCAGACCTACTCTTAGTAAGGAAAAATGACAACTCCTAAACTAAGAGTGAGTCTTCGTTGCTATGGATGACGTCACTTCTCATGCACGAGCCTCCTCGCAATGATCACGGTGATTGGTTGTTAGATGACAGGGCCATCATGCGGAACATAACACAGACGCAACAAATCATGGATTTAGGACATCTAAATATGTCTGTGTCCTACACAAAATAATAATAGTAATGTCATCTAAATGTTTGTGCAGGCCCCAGTGAAGTGTAATTCTAACAAGGCAGAGAGAGAGAGAAGTCGTGAATTAAATTAAATTAAATCAAGGTAGCCTAATACCCCAATGAAAACCGCCACTTGCCTAATAATGAAAAATCGACACTTGCATTAACACTTGCTTGGTTAATTGACATCCTATTAGCCTAAATAGACTACTTAAAGCAAGGAAATGTTACTCCTATTGAAGTAATGTAATGGTGTGTTCACACCGAACGCGAATAAAGCGTCAAATACACGTCTATCGCTTGAACATTCGCTCGAGTTCAAATTTTTCAACTTGCGCGGAAGACGCGTCGCCCAATTCGCGTCATTTGCAACGCCCGGCGCGAATGATGCGCCTATTCGCGTCTTTGCATTGACTTTGTATGTAATCTACTCGCACAAATAATTAAATTCGCGTTCGGTGTGAACACACCATAATAGTTGAATGACGGTGGATTATGAACTCGCCAAAACGGAAAAGAAAGCCCAACTGGACGCAGGATCAGTTACTGCTGCTGGCCCAAAAACATAATAAAAGTGAAATTCGGCACTGGGATATCAAGCAAAACTAAGCGTGAGAATGGGAGAGGATTTGTTTGCAGATCAATGCAGCATTCCCGCTTGTGTCGCGGACGCCGGACGACTGCGAGAGGCGCTGGTATGCGCTACAATCCTTTGTGAATAGGTCTTAGTGAGTTAGGAGTCCTCTCGACTTCTTTTAAGCTGTCCCAGACTTAGGTGCTACTTTTAGGGCTAAAATGCTTTGTGAATTACTCTTAGTGAAAAAAATTAGGAGTCCTAAAGTTAGGAGTGACACGCCCATTATTTTTAGGAGTTGCTCCTAAATTTGCCAGTTAGGAGCTACTTTTAGCCTTAAAATTCTTTGTGAATACGGCCCCTGATCCCTACTTGTGTTGAACCCGTGACCTTGTTCCCGGTTGCCAGTCCAGATCTTAAACTAAACCAACAGAAAGTGTGGCGTAGAGGTTTAAGATCTGGATTGGCAGCTTTAGGTTGTAGGTTTGAGGTTTTTGCTCTTTATCCTAATAAAGTGGAAGAAAAACTCAATTCAAATACTCACCAAAGTCACTAGTGCACACAGCCATCAGAATCTCGGTGTTATTGCACGGCCTGCAGGCTCCTGAGAGAGAAAGAAGAGGAGAATGAGACGGAGGACAGGAACGCCTCTAGATGAGGTGTAACACACAGCTGCTAGGCGGAGGTGTGATGGAGGGAATGACCTTCTGATCGGTGTGATTCATCTCACCTCTTCAAAGCTCGTGAGAGAGGTGTGTAATGAATCACTTCCCTCTTCCTCTCTATTGTTCCTTCAGCTGATCTATATGGGCTTGTTAAGTAAGCAAACTGAACAGCTGATCTTATAAACCCATCTTTGGAAGATGTTTGTATAGATGCGTTTACAAAAATGGACCATGGTAACTATAGTTTCTAGTCAAAATACCATCAAGTCAGGGTTGATGGCTTAATTCATTTGAAACTAATGAAAATGAGACAATAGGCTATGCTAATCTAAATGTCCTCGGTCACATTTATGTTTTTTTGTTTCAACTTCATATTTGTCAACATTGAAACTTCTATAACACCAATTATTTGTCAAATTATATGTAATATAAATATATAAGATTCAGAAAGTGTTCCAAAATTAATTTATAGTGATTTTTGTTGTTGTTAAATGACCACAAATGAATATGTGCTAAGTAGTTTTGGTACACATTCTTGAATCAGTGTTATTTTAGTATCATTGATATACTATCATAGTTTTTATTAATATTTTTAATTGGTTTTTATTTTTATATTTTCCATTTGAATTTTAGCAAAATTTTCTGTAATTTGATTGTTTTTTTTTTTTTATGTCTATATAGTTTATATTCATTTTTATTACAATTTTAGTTATTTTAGTACATGAAATTAATTATATATAAAAAATGTTATGGTTATAATAATTTAATTGATTCAGTAATTTTAATATATATATACATTTTTGGCACTGGCTGATAAAAAATTTTTTGGACTCTAGATATCGGCCATACACAAGTTGAGCTCTACCTAAAGTCATGATTATTAGAAGTTGAAAGGAATGCAGCTCGAGCTCATTCCTCCACATGTGCACTTTCACACTGAGCAACAGGTGTCCGTGTGGGTGTGAGACGGAGAAAGTTGTTGGCCCTTTAAAACTTTAAACGTCCTTCCCTGTCTCCTCTCTGCTCCCAAAACTCAGAACAAAAGAATCCGCTTTTCAGTTACGTGGTTCCCCCCCCCCCCCGACCCCCCCGTTACCACGGCGACTGTGCTCTCATGCAATTCCCTGAAATGGCTCACTATGGAGATAAACCCCCCCAATACCAAGCTTTTGTCTTTTCTCCCTCCCCCTCCTCCCCCCTCGTCTTTTCCGCTCCTCGGATCTGAGCGCTCCCTCCCCCATTTCTCACAACTGGCTGGAAGGAGCTGCCCAGCTGAGATGACCTAAAACGTTACATTTAAATCATTGCAATGCTACAATTACAGGCTAAAAAGTAAGAGTGACGAATTAGTGCTTTTCAAGAAGCAAGTTGTGGGATTCTTCACATCGTGGATCTACTCTAAACTGCATTACTCTAAAGTTCAAGTCTCGTTAGAGTTTGAATGAATGCTCTGTTCCTGATCCTCGTTCTGCACCCCCATCCTCCCAAAGGTCAAAGGGCAACTCAAACTCAGCATAATTTTGGAGAACTTCATCTCCAACCTTGCATAGTTTCACAGTGTTTGAATGAGTTGAGGACAGGTTAAAGGGACAGTTCACCCAAAAATGAAAATTAGCCCATGATTTACTCACCCTCAAGTCATCCTCGTGTATATGACGTTCTTCTTTCAGACGAATACAATAAGAGTTATATTAAAAAATGCCCTGGCTCTTCCAAGCTTTATAGTCCAATAAGTCCATAAAAGTGCATCTATCCTCATAAAAGTGCATCTATCCATCATAAAAGTGCATCTATCCTCATAAAAGTGCATCTATCCATCATAAAAGTGCATCTATCATCATAAAAATGCATCTATCATCATAAAAGTGCATCTATCCATCATAAAAGTGCATCTATCCATCATAAAAATGCATCTATCCATCATAAAAATGCATCTATCCATCATAAAAGTGCATCTATCCATCATAAAAGTGCATCTATCCATCATAAAAGTGCATCTATCCATCATAAAAATGCACTTTTATGGACTTTAATACAGAAACGGCCATTCACTGCCATTATGAAGCTTGGAAGAGCCAGGACATTTTTTAATATAACTCTGATTGTATTCGTCTGAAAGAAGAACGTCATATACACCAAGGATGGCTTCAGGGTGAGTAAACCATGGGCTAATTTTCATTTTTGGGTGAACTATCCCTTTAATGCTCAGAAATGACCATGTAAAGATTTCTTAATCTTTTCAGCCAGTTTCATTGTTGCATTATATATCACTACTATATCTTCACCTTCACTGCCAATCGGATCCGCGTTGACTGACGGCTGCGCCATCCAATCCCCTCTCAGCTCGTAGCGAAACGCTGCGATGCGTCTGCTGATGTCTTGGTGAGGTGTTGCTTGCAGGAACAGGGCTGTTCGTTCTCCAGGCATGGCACTGAAGCAGCGCACCTGGACCGGGCCGGGCGTCTCGGATGTGTCGTCTCCCACCAGAAGCTCCAGGACCCCGTCTCTCTCCAGGTAAAGCTGAGCTCCACCCCAGTTCTGGTCCGGCTTGACGCAGGCCGACACCGGGCTCCTGCTGGACTCTCCTGGGACCATGGCGCTCCACGGCAGACGGGGCGAGAGTGTGAGACGCAGCGCTCCAGCGGGATAAAGCCACTCCACCGAACCCTCCGCACACCTCAACCAAACCTGCTCCACGTTCTTCACCGCCTGAGAGAGACCACTGCAGAGATGCAAACCAGAGGTTAAGCAGAGCAACATCAAATAGTCCCTTTATCCACATTAAATATGGTGCAAGCGGAAACACCATCATAAAAGTAAAATGACTTATTCTCATTTTTGGGTAAACCATCCTTTTAAGTTCTCTATTTGTCTGTCAAATTATTTTGAAGTGTCCACATAACAAAGTGGACATTTTTATTTAACATGTGTTCTTGTTTATTTTTTGCTCCTCTTTTAACATAATGGACAGTAAGGTCTATACTCAGCCCCACATTTACAGGCTATATAGGGAAAACACACTATGCGCATATATAAAACCAGGTCTGAAAAGTTGAGTCATAATTCTGATATCTTTTGATGTTTTTTCTGTATTGTGTTGCTGTAAGAATACCCGTGCCTCGCCACAAGCAGTTCAATTTACAATTTGTCACTGACTTTTTGTGCACATGACAAATAAACTTGAAACTTGAAGCTTGGATTTGTCCAGTGGGTATTGAAGTTGCAGGGAAAGTTCAACGCCTCCTACTGGCTACTTTAGCCGCGTTTCCACCGCAATTGCCCGGAACAATTTGTCCCAGGAACTTTTTTCCCAGGAACTTTTTTTGCCCCAGACCGGTAGCTTTCTGCGTTTACATCGCGGTCTAAAGTACCGGGTAAACTGCGCGCGACTGCTCATTGCTTGCTTGTGACGGACAGTAGACTGTAAAAGACAGTAATCAGTTTTGAGCGCCACATTTATAATAAATATGGAAGAGATTCACACTGTGCTGCAGTTGTTTGAGATGTATTGGTTTACTAACCAGGTAATTAACAAAACGGCAGAAAAGAGACGAGCACTGATACTAAAGCGTGTTCAGAAAGCTCGTAATGCTAACGTTAGATCTAAAATTAGACAGCGTATGTTATCAGCTATTGCGGACATTGACCGTGAGAAGGCTGGGACGAACGCGCAGAAAATTTCTCTTCCGCAAATACGCTTAATAAAGCCTGAATCTCGTCGTCGGTCCAGCTGCCTTTTTTATTTTTATTAAATTCCATATTTGCAGACAGACAACTCTTACTGCATGGAACTTCATTACTGCATGAAGCCACGAACTGCAATAGATTCTAAAAATTCCGGTTAAAATAAAATGCTGCGCGGAGTTATCCAATCATAATGCGGCGTGAACACAACCAATCAGCATGTTCAGCGCACAAGCCCCACCCGCGAAAGTTCCTGAACTTTGAAAAAGTACTACCTCGCGAGCAGGGACTTTCGGAGGGGGAAATATCTACCCGGAACTTCATTTAGACCCTGGTTCCTGCGGTGTAAACACACCGAGTACCAGGCCAAAGTTCCTAGTTCCTGGGTAAAGTTCCTGCGGTGGAAACGCGGCTTTTCACACAGTCTTTAAACTTACCGCATTGCAAAACAGACATTGCAACACTCATATCACATTTCCTATTATATATTTTTTATTTCTTCCTTATATTTTATAAATTAAGTGCTCAATTTATCCTTTTTGCGCACATTTACCGTTGCCATTTGCACAAAATGATAATCCAAACTTGACTATATCCACAAACTAACCATAGATAGATTGATTTAAGTATTGCACTTACATTATTTTACTGTTATACAAAATATTTTACTAATCGGTTACTATTGTAAATATTTGCATACTTTTTGTAGACTTAAACTAGAAAACATGCAAGATAGCAGGAAAAAATCAATGCGTTCCAGAAAAAAAAAAAACCCGTAAAAATATTCTCAATGAATTAAAAACCAGCAGAAAGCATTTAACTCTGTGTTGATGAAGTTTACCTTCCCCTCCAGCTGCACTGGTCCTCGGAGTAACTGGCCATCGTGAAGCCCGTGAGAAATGAAATCCAAAGCGCAAAATCCATAAAGCCCCAAACCTCCATCACTGCGCGAGACGCTGCGGTTATCCAGAGGCGCGTGCGTCCGTCAAGTCCTTCTCTTCGCTGCTTTTACAAAGTTATATTTAAACACAACGAAAACCTACTGATTCCATGCTGTTGTCTGATGTAAAAGACCTGTCCGAACTAAACTTTCCCTCTCTTTCTGCAGATCAGTCCGTGCGGCTTGAGCAGTGAGCTGACTGGCAATGCGCGTGCACAACTGCTGACTGACTGACTGAGTTCCAGCGCAAGAGTTTCAGGACGGGACTAAACTTTAAGCCCCGCCCACACCAGCAGGAGGAGGCGTGGCTTCACCGCAGTTAAAGTCCAATGAATGGCATCTCGTCTATTCACACACTGGGTAAAGGATTACGACAGAAGAATATTTAATCAGCTTCTTCTGAATGTAGGCTATGTGAAGGATTTTGAAACATAACACGGGTGTTTGGCAGTAGCACTGAATCATTCTGTTCGTGCGAATCATTTGTTCAATGAACCGATTAAATGATTCTTTTTCGCCATATCCCTAGATATTAATTGTTTTATCACTGTTTTAAAATTGCGTTGAATTTGTGTTGTTTATTGCTTCAAAATGATATTAACGGCAAAATTAACGGTAGCATTTTCCCAATATGATTAATATTTTTCATAAAGAATGTTAATTGTTAATACTAAGTAGGTGATTTGCAAAAAAAATATTGTCTATTCCAACAGAATCGTAACAGAATCGCTTTTATAGTCGGTTAAAAAATATGTGGTCAAATCAGTAGTTTTTCCACACATTTTGTGTTTCCTCTCCAGCTTTTAAGTTTTTTAGCTTTTATTATGAATATGTTAGCCTTCTGTTATCTATAAGCTAGTATGCTCCAAAACAATGACAAAATTCGCATTTAGAAGTTATAAGCATTATAAGCATTCAAAAACAGTCTCTTCCGCCAATATGGATCAATGACTTTGATGACATCACTCTGCACTTCAGCTTCTCATCAGATTTTCTGTCCAATCAAATGCTCTCTAGAATCTGAAGCTCCGCCCCCTACATTATAAATAGACTGAAGCTGCTGTTGCTGAAATCGGTCACTTGTTCACACAATTACTATTTTCTACATGATGAATGGCACATAGTGCACTATATAGGGGATCGGGAACGATTCAGACCGTGTAAATATGCTTGCCATTGGGGCGAATGAAGTCTGGTTTCACATTAGTGTCAAACAACATTAACAGAGCGGATCATATGCGCGAGTCGGCGTAGACCACGAAACGTATCGGATACATTTGAATTCTGCACAGAATGCTATATTTTAAAGCGTTATGGAAGAGATTAGGAGGAAACTTTGGCTTTACCGAGCTCAACGGCTCTGGCCGAGCTGTGATATAAACGTAACACTATTGGCTATTTAAAAAAAGGGGAGGAGCTGTTCGATATGCCCCGCCCTGTCTTCCTGTTTCAGTGGAAATTACGTCAACACATTGAATAACGCTGCGCATTTCAAGGCACTTCTGTAAGAGCGAAATGCAAGAAGCCTTTCAGTTTGATTTAACACGGTTAACGGCTTTACATTACCATGTAGTTAAAAGTTCAATTGTAATGCAATCGATCTTAATTATAATATTCATTGTGATCTAATTAAGATGGCTGGAAGTTGATTAATTTGTCTTTGTAATGCAGTATTAGTCTAAAAACTTGAAAATAACTGCAAGATCTGTTGAAAGCTGAAGTTGGGATCAGGTTGAGAAGGACTAGGATGAAATCAGCTGAACGCATGATGATCCACTCTAATGTTCTGGAGAGAGGTAAAGAAGAGGGGGATGGCCGGGTTGGTCGGGGGTAAATGAAGCGCTCTGCGTGACGCCTGCCCTCTCTGTGGCCCATGCTGAGGGACTCTTTCATCTTACTGCATTATAAGCAAATCAAATATTCTTTTGTATCACCACTGCAATCTATCTTTATGGATAGTGTGCATGTGTGTGTACGCGAGTGTGTGCCTTTGATGTGGTTATGACAGGACCTTTGACATATTCAAAGCCTCATGTCCAGTAGCCCTGCTGAGGTGTGTATATAGTGTGTGTGTTTTGTGTTCCCTGCTGATCTGCTGTGTATAAACTGAGGCTTTTGTTCTCTAGTGGCCACTTCAAAGAATAGACACATGAAATCTGACGTGAACGTGCATGTGTGTGTGAATCTTTGTGTGCATCTGTATGTTTAGCGTTGCATAGCAAGACATAGGACTTGTTTTTGATCATTATAGTCTCGGTTTCCAATATTTGCACAGATAAATCTGTTGTAAACTAAGAAAAATTATGCTCTGATTATCAGTGGAATTTAGTGAAATACAACTTAACTGTGATCATATTTGGATTGATGTTGATGCATTATATATTTTATGTTATCAAAGCTTTTTAAGGATGGCAACATTTTCAACAATACAAAAAGTCAACCGATCGATCACTCAAATCGATCTAGGCCCTCAACAAATCAGCTTTAGACTTTATTTAAACTCCAAATGCTCTGTCTCGATCCTTAATATGACTGGTCTGTGTTATCACTCTCATTCAAGCATGTTCCTCAAGTCCGATTATTGGTTTGTGTGTGTGTGTTTGGGGGTGGAATAGTGTTGGTCTCCTTAGATCTTGATCCAGCTGTGTTTGCAGTCGCACACACACTCACATGAGAAAGAGCAATGAGAACAACAGTGTCATTTTTCACAGCTCTCTCATAGGGGTTTGCCGGCAAATACAGCATTGTGTGTGTTTCCTCAATGAAGGCACTTCTTACACTGCTATAATGGACAGATTAAAGGACACGGAGAGACAGTGAGATTGAGAGAAGGGTCACATATATAGTATAAGATTCTGTTTATAGTTTCATTGTGTGTAAAGTTACAAAGGCTTAAACGTTTTAGGCTTAAAAGTTTGTCTAGTCTATATTTTTTATACCAAGAACATTTTTAATTCTTTTGTTGAAAACCATAACACTGGGTACAACTTTATGTGATGCGTTTTGGCTTATGGGTAACTTTATTACTGTACAGAGTTGTACGTACAGTATATATGTTAAAAGTTTGTGTCAATAAGATTTATTAATGTTTTTGAAAGAAGTCTATTACTCTTATGCTCAACAAGACAATTTATTTGACCAAAATACTGTAAAAACAGTAATATTGTGAAATATTATTACAATCTAAAATAACTCTTTTCTATGTGAATATATTGTAATTTATTCCTGTGATCAAAGCTGAATTTTCAGCATCATTACTCCAGTCTTCAGTGTCACATGATCCTTCACAAATCATTCTGATATGCTGTTACTTGGGCGTTGCTATGCCGATGCTAAAGTGTGTTGATTTGTGGTTGCTAGGGTGTTCTGGGTGGTTGCTAGGTATAGTTGCCTTTTCTACAGTGTTAGTCAATGTGTTTTTTCCCCACTATTTGATCATATCCCAAGTCTGATTGCTTGCATTAACATTTATGCATTTGCATCTGAAGTTTAATACTTGATTTTAGCAGTTGCTTTGATATCACTAAGCTTAATATGAGCAATTGTAAAAGTGATGTTGGATATAGATTTCTGTCAGAACATTTCTTAGTCTGAAAAGCACATTTAGATGTGATGGTGTGACAGATAGTGTGTTTGAGAACCTCAAACACTGCTTTTTGATTCGGGAAAATGAGTGAGTGTGTAAACAAGAGCCTGGGAGAGACGAGAAGGCCAAACTTCCGTACACACAACCGACACTAAACACACACACTCATACTAACACATGTGTAATAGTGTACTTTCACAGATACACACCACAGCTGTGCGCTCACGTTTCTTTACTCTCTTTCCTCTTAAATGTTGTAAGAATGTTTAATCTCACTTTAGCACATCACTGTCAATCATAAAGAAACTATTTCACACACAGCTGCAGGACATCCACTGGTTTTAAATTAAATTTAATATTACAATCCTTATATGAAATCCAGCATAAAAAAGGAAACAACTCTTCTTTATTTATTAAGATTTATTAATGCTTTGACCCTGGACGAAAATCCCCATAACCATTGTTTAATAATAGTAAACTATATTAATCCTAATTATAATAATAATAAAGGCAACAACAATTCCTCTGATGGAGTTAATATTTGAAATGTAGCAACTTGGTGCAACCAATCAGAATTTAGAGTCTGAAAAATGTGTTTTATGTATTTTTGGGTAGTAATTGAAGTACGCCATGCAGAAAGTTTGGGTATGGCATGATTATAAATGCTTGTAAAGCTGCATTTATTTGATAAAAATGCATATTATTACAATTTATAATAACTGTTATTCTAATCTATTCTATATTGTTTAAATGTAGTTCATTCCTGTGATCAAAGCTGAATTTTCAGCATCATTACTCCAGTCTTCAGTGTCACATGATCCTTCAGAAATCACTCTAATATGATGATTTGCTGCTCAAGAAACATGTCTGATTATTAATGCTGAAAACTTGTGCTGCTGCATATTTGTAGTGGAAACCGTGATACATTTTTAGCATTCTTTGATGAATTCACTTAAATGCATTTACCTGAAATAGAAAACTTTTGTAACATTATAAATATATTTACTACACAATCTAATGCATCCTCTTTAGCTATTTTAAACATTAAGCATTTCTTGCACCCATTTATTTTTCATCACGCAAATGAGGGAAAAACTCCTTGGATCTTTCTTCAGTTTGGTTCTGCATCTCATCATTCCCTCCATCTCCCCCATGTCTCTAAAGCTGTATTTCTGCATTTCATCAGTTTAAGTGTGTCCACCCATCCTCCCATCCTCTATCCCTCCCCCTCCAGCATTCACTCATTTTCTTCTTCATTGACTCAGACGGATACATCTCTGCTCTCTCTCTCTCTCTCTCTCTCTCTCTCTCTCTCTCTCTCTCCGCGTCCCTCCCTCAGTCTGGACTCTTCTCTCTCATTGTGTGTCGGTTCAGATTAAGCATGATTAGCTCACACCCTCTCACACACACGTTCACACCGCCGTATTCAGGCACAATGAACGCATGCC